CATGGTGGTGGCAAAGATCAGAGAGCAAGGGAGGAGTAGTGGCAACAATGGCTACAGAGAGGAAGTCTGTCTCCCTTAAATTGAATGCATTCAGGCTATATGGCCCAGGCTGGGTGTAGTACTCAAACCCATAATCCCAGCAGTACCAAGACCCATAATCCCAGCCTTGATCATGAATTAATCACAAACTCTAGCAGTTCCCGCCCCATGACTGAATGAGGCTTTGAGGGGACAACGACACACAAACCATAACAGTCTCATTGAATTAAATCAAAGAACTATTGATACTTTCTGAAATTGTGATATTTTGTGAGTGTGCATTTCTTTGGATTTATGTATGTTCAATCTCATTCTGTTAAAATGTATTATTTCACAAACTGCTATAACCAAATTAATAGAAATACACAGAAGGAAAAAAAGGAACTGAATCCCCTTTGTAATAAAACTTGTTTTCTGTGCTTTTTGACCAATATTAGTTAAAATATTTAGATAAATCTTTATGCAGTAGAAATCATAGCTGAATTTAATTTTGCATTGTTCCTTACTTTGTTATTTCCTAAATGCTTTGTTAAATGCACTTCTAACTTTTTTTTTTTTTTTTTGTGGAACCAGGGATTGAACTCAGGCCCTTGCATTTGCCAGGGAAGCGCTTATTCTACTGAGCCATCTCCCCGGCCCCTGATAAATGCACTTTTAAGTGACTTACTGCATGCATTGGTAACATCAATAGGAGTACTAGGGCCAGCTAAATAGCTCAGTGGATTGAAGTATCTGCAAGCAGGCTCAGGGGCTGGGGATTCGATTCCCTGGGCCTGGCCCCGCCACCAGGGTGCACTGAGACAGCAATTGAGACTGGGCATGATGGTGCATGCCTGTAATCCCACCACTTGGGAGGCTGTAAACAGATGGATCTCTGCCAGTCTGATCTAGTAGTGAGACCCTGAACACCCTGTAGACCCTTCCCTAAAATGCAAAAAAAAAAAAAAAAAAAGGAGTACTTATTCTATACTAAGCATTATGCAAGTCATCGTGTTTTTCTCATTTATCCCTATAGTAGTTCTATGTGATGAGTATTGCCGTGCCCTTTTCATAGGTGAAAAAACTGAGACTTGATTCATTTTGGTTAGAGGATATTAGTTGAGAGCTATGTTTTAACTACCATGCTGAACTCTGGGAGTTCAAAGATGAGTGGGACATGGTCCTCTCTAGAAGGAATTCGGAGAATGGTGGAAGAACAAATGACTAAGAATATCATTTCAGTGCGCTTTCAGGAACTAAGGGCAGTGACCAAGCAGGTGGCTGGTAGAACGCACTGGCCCTGGTTAGAGTTGAGTGGAGCAGGTTCACTCAGCAGCGCTTCTCCAGGCTTGCAGCTCCTTGAGGCACTTGCTAAGCGCGGCTTCTGCTGGAGTCTGTGCTGGGGTCTGAGAGTCTTCAGGTTATGCTGGCGCACATGCCTTCCCTTGAGTAGGAATATCCTACATGATGTAGGAATCTGTAGGTAGAGAAATGGGAAAAGGTTAGTTCTAGACAGTGGAAGAAACATAAAAACAGTGTGCTAGATGGGAAAATAAATCAATTATAGTCTGTGGCAGCTTGCTGGTGAAATCCAACTCACAGCCTTACTTTTGTACAGCTGCTTTGCTAAGAATAGTGTTTGCACTTCTAAAAGTCTTTTTTTTTTTTAAAAAAAATAAAGTCCAAATATTTACTATTCAGCCTTTCATAGTAAGAGCTTGCAACCCCTCACCTATGATATTGGTGGTGAGGTGGAGTAGAAGATGTGTTAGAGAAAATAGGCCAGGGTCTTTATGGGGCGGGGCAGGAAAGGCTTTAGGGAAGCACAGGCTCAGATGCTGTTTCAAAATGCCGTTTGGGGCTGGGAAGAGAGCTCAGTGGTCTCAGTTCCTGCCTGACAAACTCAAGGACCTGGGTTTGATCCTTGGTACTGCATGCAGTACTGGCCCCACTCTGGACACGCTGAGCCGACCACCGAAACCAGGCATGGTAGGCATAGTGGCGCACCTCTGTAATCCCAGCGCTGGGGAGCCTAAGACAGGAGGGTCACTGTGAGTCCAAGCTGCATCGTGTACTAAATACATTAAAAAAAGAAAATGTCATTTGTCAAAGTGGAGAAAAAAGGGGGCAACATTGGAAACAAGAATGCCAGGAGGGGCCCAGCCTGAACCAAAGCAGATAGAGGGGCAGGTTTAAGAACTTTGGGGACGAAGTTTATTTTCTTTTTCTTGGGGGGGTGGGGCTCAGCCTGTCCTGAGGGCGGGGCTGGCATGGCACACATGCCGGGTATTGAACCGAGGTCCCTTGCACCTGCCTAAGTTTGCCTAAACAGGCCCTTTAGACAGCTGAGCTATTTCACTGGCCCCTCATTTGCTTTCGATTGCAACGCATAAGAAGATAAACATTTTATTTCAGGACCTGGCATACACACAAAATTTATCACAAAACAGTATTTGTCTTTTGTAATTGAACTTGAATATTTTTCATTCCATTCCAGAAAATTCTGTTTCCTACCCACTATGTTGATTTCATACTGAACCACAACTCATGGGTTGAAAAACACTCTTCTAGGAGAGGAACATCAGCAAGACTTTGTCAGTAGTTTGATATGAAGGGTAGGGAACAATAATGTTAGCTTAGGGAAAGGTACAAGTGCTATTTCTCCCAACTGAAATCAGTAATAGAGGGGAAAGCATTTGGCAGGTAGAGATGTTTTATTCATTTTTGGTTTTTCACATTTCTTAGCTTGATTTTGACATTAAAGCATTCCTCACTTATGGAAGTATAGGTTCTGTGGCTGTATGGGTGCTTCTGCTGCAGGTTAAAGGGGAAATGGGCTTTTTAAAATTCTGAGTTTTGGGGCTGAGGCGATAGCTCAGTAGAATAAGTACTTGCCTGGCAAGCGCAAGGGCCTGAGTTCAATCTCTGGTTCCACAAAAATAAATGGATAAATAAATAAAAAATAAATAAAAATAAAAAATCTGAGTTTTCACCACTGATAATTTCCATAAGAAGTGAACCACAAATTCAGAAAAGATACCTAAATTTTAGCAATTTTTTAAAATTTCAGACTTTTTTTTTTTTTTTTTTTTTTTTCAGACTGTTGTAGAAGTCTACTACTAACACACCTTTGCCAGGCATTTGCATTGTTAGTATTCAATTCTTTTTTCCCCTCAGTAGGACTTACTCATTTTTGAACAGGTTGAGTTTGAGAGAGCTATATGATACTCAGATTTTCTAGAAAATAAGGTATTAATTTTTTTTTTTTAATTTTATTTATTTGTGTGTGTGTGTGTGTGTGTGTGGCCAGCTCAGCACACCAGGGGGCGGGGCTGGCTGGCATGTGGTGCTGGGGGATTGAACCGCGGTCCCTGTACTTTGCCAAGCCTGTTCCAAGTAGGTGCTTTAGACCACTGAGCCATCTCGCCAGCCCGAAAATAAGGTATTAATTTTTCACTCAGTATTACAACCTCTTTGTTTGTTTGACTGCTATTCATCTTTTTAAAAATTTTTTCCAAAACTCCTCCCCAGTGCTGGGATGACAGGCATGTGCCTCCATGCTGTTTTGATGGTAGGCTTGGAGTGCCTGGGGCAGGTCTGGCACAGCATGCAGTAACAGGGATTGAACCCGAGTTTGTTTTTTATTTTCTGTGTTAGGACAAGATCTACAGGGTCTCAGTATGTAGATTGGAATCGTAGTGATACTCCTGTTTTCAGCTTCCCAAGTGGTGGGATTACAGGTGCACACCACTGCACCCAGTCTCAATCCCCATCTCAGTGTGCTCCAGGGGCGGGGCCAGCCCCACACACTGGGGATCGAACCCAGCCAATGGGCTGTGCCTAAGCAGGCGCTTTAGTTCGCTGAGCTATCAGGCCAGCCCTTGAGCCCAGGTTCTTATGCTTGTCAGGCAGGCTCTTAGATCACCAAGTTTTTCCCTGGCCCTAACTACTGTTATTTCAACAGCAGTATTTTCTAGTTTTATATAAAGGCACAATATTTCAGAATTTAGTAAGCTTTCCCAGCTCAGACTGGAAATTCCACCACTATTACAACGTTGTTAGTGTTCTAATGGAGGGACACAGCGTGAATCAAGTGTAGTAATCAGTGTATGTAAAAAATTTGTAGGTTGGGGAAATCACTTTACATTGTATTTTGCAGTGTTTAATGTAGTACTTGTATATTATTTCAGTAAGATTAATGTTCTGGGTATATGGAAATATCTAATGGAGTTATCAGATTATAGAATAACTATGGTTTTCTTTGTTCTGTATACAAATATACTACTAGAAAGTTGTCATTTTTTGATTCTTTTGTTCTAGGCTCATAAACCATTGGTATTTTATTCAGACTCTTCTTGATAAAAGGAGGTTCTTTAAAAGAAGTGTACTTTTGGAAATGTAAAGAATATTTGCTGGGCTGGCAAGATGGCTCAGCAGACTAAGCGCCTGCTTTGGCAAGCACAGGGACCAGGGTTCGATTCCTGGTCCCATGTGCCCCACTGGCCATGCCCCCAGGGCATAGGTCGAGCACACCTGTAATCCCAGCGCTGGGGAGGCTGAAAAACAGGGTCGCTATGGGTCCGAGCTGCATTAGTGAGACCCTATACTAAGTACATAAATGGAAAAAAATAATAATAAAGTACATGTTTAAAAAAAGAGTATTTCCTGGGGCTGGTGAGATGGCTCAGTAGTCTAAAGCACCTACTTAGAACAAGCTTGGCAAAAGTACAGGGACCCCGGTTCAATCCCCCAGCACCACATGCCAGCCAGCCTCGCCCCCTGGTGGGCTGAGCTGGCCACACACACACACACACACACACACACACACATAAATAAATGAATAAATTAAAAAAAAAAGTATTTCCTAAGCTCACCATGTCAGTGTGAATTGCATACCTATGTTAACATATTTTTTAAACTTTAAAATTTTTTTTAAACCAGGGAATAACTTTCTTAATTTTTTTATTTTTATTTTTTTACAGATTGAATACCTACTTAAGAAACTTACAGAAGCTATGGGAGGAGGTTGGCAGAAAGAACAATTTGAAGACTATAAAGTCAACTTTGATGACAGTAAAGAGGGCCTTTCTGCATGGGAGCTCATTGAGCTGATAGGAAATGGACAGTTTAGCAAAGGCATGGACCGGCAGACGGTGTCTATGGCAATTAATGAAGTCTTTAATGAGCTTATACTAGATGTTTTAAAACAAGTAAGAGTCCTGTGACATTGTATTTTTCCTCTTTAGAATTTGATGTTTGAAATAAGATAACATTTTTGTGGTAAAGATGGTGTAAGTCACTTATGGCCTTAAACTGGCTAGAATAAGACTGCAGTTTGATTTCCACACTGTTTTACTAGATTTTAATTTTTAAAAAGTTAATCATATTGGTACACTTTCTTTTTTGGTGGCCAGCTCAGCCTGCTCTGGGGGCGTGGCTGGTGTGGCATGTGGTGCCAGGGATCGAACCATGGTCCCTGTGTACTTGCCTAAGCAGGTGCTTTTAGACTGCTGAGCTATTTTGCCAGCCCAGCCCCACTTCTTTGCAAAAGTTTTGTTTCCATTTTTCTCCTTTTCTCTCCTTTATTTTCCTTAAGCTTTCATTTTTTAAGATTATTTTCTGTGTTGTGTTTTTCCTTTTTCAGGGCTAGGAATTGAACCCAGGGTCTCACCAATTAGGCAAGCTCTGTACCACTGAACTAATACTTAGCCCTGGGCTTTTAGTTTAAAGTATTACTGGTACAGATTTGAAGTACAGTTAAAAATTGAGATATTCAAGGAACTGTTTAATCATATTTCCAAACTATTTAAAAAATATCTTCATGTCATTGAATTTCATATTCATTAATCTAGAAAGACACTCATGGCATATTGCCAGTGGAAATGACAGGTTGTAGGACAGTAACTATTTGGATCTGTTTCCCGTAGCAGGATGTCCGTGTATAGAGCCGTCCGGATGGAAAGGTACTCAACAAAGCGCTCACAGTGATGGCTCTGGACTGTGGGATTCCAGTGAATTTTATTTTCTTTTTTATTCCTTTTCTGTATTATTAGACTTTCTATATGAAATATACATATATAACATATATATTCTTTTTGGGGAGTGTTTTTTAGGCAGGTAGTCCAGGCTGGACTTGAACTCACTTTGTAAGCCAGGCTGACCTTGAATTTGTGATCCTCCTGCTCAGCACTGCCAAGTGCTTAAGATTACAGCCGTGCACCTCCTCACCTGGCAGTTTTATATTATTATTATTTTTTTTTTTTTGCAGTACCAGGGATCAAACTCAAGTTTTATATTATTTTTGTAAACTTAGAAAAAATACTTTTGCTTTTAGAAAAAGATATTTCCATGTAGAAAAGTAGCATGTCTTATAAAACTATTACCTTTGTTTTCTAAGTACTCTGCATAGTATCTGATATATACTGCTAGTAATAATTGCTGCTGAAGCGTAATGCTTGTTAAATGCTTAATGCTGAAGCTTAATGCTTGTTAAGCAGATTTTATGTATATTTTAGTGGATCATCCAAACTTTTTACATTATTATATTGAATAATAACTCTGATTTTGGATTTTTTATTCAGTAATGTCATTTTTTTGATGGAGTCCATCAGTAAACATTAATTGAGGCTTAACTTTTGTAGCATCAGCTTTTGATGCTGCAAAGAGGTTTGAGATGTGGCCTCTGTTCAGGGCTTCTAGACTCATTAGGATAGCAGCTGTAGAACTGCAGATGAATTGCAGTGCGAGATACCTTTTGCTTTAAATGTCTAAGAAGGGGCTGGTGAGATGGCTCAGTGGTCTAAAGCACCTACTTAGAACAAGCTTAGCAAAGCATAGGGACTGTGGTTCAATCCCCCAGCACCACATGCCA